ATTCTTTTGTCAAAACCACTTGCAATCTGATTCATAGCTGAGCGCCTTGCCGCCGGTTACAGTTATATGTTGTTTAGAGTTGTTTAGTCAGTTTAGTAAAATGGTTCAAACTTTTAAGACAACATGTGACAACATAAGTGGCCCATATTAATGGACCAACAATAATGTTCAGCGTCTATTTAAATCAATAAACAGATTACAAAGCTATCATGACCAAAGGCAAACTCCGTTGTGCTGGATCATCGCTGTTTCTGAAGAATCGCTTTGGTATTGGCTACCATCTAAGGTAATTATRAGGGGATTCATAATCAACCTTCAATTGTATTGAACCCTGAAACAACCTTTAGGATGATCAAACTCATAGTTTGAAATACATTTTGTGTGTTGGGTCATATGGAGTGAGCTCAAAGAAAACCAAAGATTCAAGAAAAACTGCCAGTAATTAAGGGAGACACCTAACAAACTGTACTCGTTAGCAGTGCCAAATCCACAGTGCACTTCAGCTACGTATAGGTGGCCCATTATTCCCTTATTGTAATTAGGAAATGCCAGATTGGTCAGCTCCTTGTCTGTCTGTCTGTAAATTCTTGTTTATCAGTCTCCTTTTCTTTTACCTTCGTTTTATAGCATGGAGTTATCAAATAACTGTGACAGGGATACTGTTGAGAGCCTGGTAAAGAGTCACGTCGAAGGAGCTGAGGTGACTCGCCATCACGGTAAAGAGTTGGCTTTCTCACTCCCAATTGACCAAGTCAACAGCTTTGCAGGTATGTACCTTCATACAATGTTTTGTTCATGAATGTTTACTGTAAAGCTTTGAATCATTGATCATGAATTTTGTTCCCAGGCCTCTTTGCTACTCTTGAGGACAACAATGACAGTAATGAGACTTGTGCCGCCACATGCCTGGGCGTGACTAGCTATGGTGTTTCCATGACAACCTTAGAGGAAGTCTTTCTCCAACTGGAAGACACGAGTGATGAAGTCAAAGAAGACAACAACCAGCCCAGTATAAATGGGTCCCAGAATAATCTTCTCATTCCCACAGCTAGTAAGGAAAACTTGTCAGGTTCGCAGGCCAGTAACCTACATCATACTGGTGTTGACCTCGATATACAAGAGATACGTAAGAATGAAGGCATGTCAAAATATACTGGACAGTTGCTTGCCCTGTTAAAGGTAGGTAACACTGGTCCAAGTACATTACAGGGCACTTGTTAGTCTTTTAGTTTCTTTATGGTCTGATTACAAAACAACATTGATGAATGATTAATCCTACATAGCTTAGCTCAATCATTCTAATTCCACACCAGAAGTTATTAAGTAATATCTCCTGTCAAGGGACTTTCAATAAAGGATATGATCATAAATGTAAAACTGATAATTAAAACTATAGTTTAGGATCAAATTATCATGCAATGTATTAGGTGGCATGCTTTATTACAAAGTGCTGTCTCTTGCCATCATGTAGCAGCTTGTGCCTTGGGTTGCGGGTTGCAGACTCAATTCTTGACTGAACCACATATGTGAGTTGAGTTGTTTGATGTGTTGTTCCCTACCGTGAGGGCTTTACTCGGGTTTCCCTCCCTCCATAAAAATCAACATGTGAGTAGTGCATGCGGAGCAAACCTCAGGGAAGAGCCACTTATGGGTAGTTATGGTTGTAAATATATAGTCTCTTGTTCATGTCTGTCCTTACAGATCCAGTGGCTGCAGACTATTCGTTCTCCACTGAAACTCTTTTTCATGGTTATCGTCCCTCCGATCCTCCTGGTTGTTGGCTTGGTTTTGATCAAAGTTAATTCATCTGATACTGGTTCTTCCTTGCGACGAGTTCCCATCTCCCCAACCATGTATGTCACTCCAGCCAGTACCCAGTCCTATGCTACACCTATCCTCTTCCAGAATTCAACAGGGTCACCTCTTGATGACATCTATAGGTTCTTGAAGGATTATGGAATCGATTTTGACCAAGTTAATTCCTTAGATGATTATTTGAACATCTCGGCCACAGAGAAGCCCAGTCGATGTTTTGGACTTGATGCTAACAAGTTTCCAACCAATAACCTGTCAGTTTATGTAAGTAGGCCATGTAATACATTACTGTATCTCACTGCTTTGGTCATTGAGTCTTACAAGTCTATCCTCAGTTGTCTCACAATTTTGAGACCTATATTTCCAATCAAATTTGTATTAAAAATGGCTGGGATGCCTGATGTAGCTCAAAATTTTCTGTAATATGACAGAGATAAAAGATGTTTCATTGAATCAGTTATTTGTTGCACTAGATCATGCCAGATGTCATGACTGAAAACCCCACCTTATTGATTTGTCCTTTCATTTTCTTTGCCTTCAGCCAAAAGTTGATTTTCATCTGCGTTACAATGACTCAATGGTCCATTCCATTCCTGTGGGAGTCAACGTTATCACCTCACTGTTCAACATGTTTGCCTTGAAAGCCAAAAACCAAATACCACACCCCATCAAGACGTATTTCCAGCTTTTTCCAGCACTGAAGCCGAAGCTGAAATATGATAACAATTCGTTTATTGCTGTGATGTTGATTGGTCTGTCATTCGCTGTTATTCCTGGAGGATTTGCTATCTTAGTAGTTGCACAGAGACAGGTAATAACAGTTACAAATTGCTGAATAGGCCCCTTGCAGTATGTTGGATTGCAGCTCAATTTGGAGGGCAAAACAATAGGTTTCCAATAGACGATTTGCATTAGCAGGTCGCATGACCTTACCTCCTGTCAAAATAAAAAAGGGAGACAGAGTTTCAGCTCATAATAAGCAAAACAGGAAAAATGGCATTAGATATAAAATTGCCCCAAGCTTTTGCTCTCTCAGTATGCCACCACTGCTTATCTCTTGTTGATGAAAATCGTAAGATGAAAAACTAAATATATATTTTTTCATGACAGCTAAATATCCGCCACCTTCTGCGAGTGTCCGGGTTATCAACCCCCATGTACTGGCTGTATCTCTTCATTAGTGATACTATAGTCTTCATTATCCCTGCCTTCCTGTTACTAATACTGGTTCCAGCTATCCAGATACCATCACTTTCTTCGCCTGCAGCGATGGGCTGTCTTGTCATAGCTGTTATTCTTTACATTCCTACGGGTATCTTGTTCAGCTACTGTTTGTCGTTCCTCTTCAGCAAGTGGGAAACATGTCAACAAGTGTTACCAGCTGTATTCACCTATGTAAGTCATGTCATTCTATATGATTCTATATAACATACATTCTTAGGGTTGTGGGGAGAGAAACGTTGCGTGACGATGGGATGCGTACACTGTTTTATAAAATCAATAACAACTTAAATTATTATTAATCTTAGTTTGTAACATACATCTAAACCCTGATAATGTCATATAGAGGTGTTAAGTTCTGACGTATTTCTGGGTTCAACTCCTCACAAAAACCTCTAATTAAAAATATAGCCAAAAGTTTTCTCAATATTTAACCTCCACCTAAATCAATTAGAACTTTTGACAACAAAACCTGTCATGAAGAAAATGTAATAAAAATCTTTATAAAACTGCTTTTCATTTTGGACCTGGAAGTCGTTAAACCTTAACATAAATGAAGCTTATTTTACATGCCTACATATGAAGACATTTTACTGACTCCAAACATTGTTATCCCTCACACTTATGAGTACCTCCCCTATTGTGTGTTCTTGAAATCTAACCATGTACTAATCTATCCCAACTTATTTTCTACACAGCTTTCCTTAATACCGTTCCTGGCCGTTTCACTAGTCGACATGATTGCAAGTCCAGACACCGCCATTATTCTACATTACGTGTTTTCATTCCTAAATCCTGCATATGGACTTATTGGGGCTATGTACTATGTAACAAGGGTCAGTACTAGTACTGCTGTCTGTCTGTCTGTCTGTCTGTCCCATGTAACCCAGTTTGTTTTTATTAAAGTGTCTAGGCGTTCTTGTGCTTTTGCACTAATTGAGGAAACTTTTTCGCTCACACATACCACCACTTCATTTAATTTTCTTCAGTTCACACAGCGCTCAACTCACATGTTGATTTTGAGGATAGGGATATGATAAAAACACATCAAACAAATTCAGCTCACAAAATAGCTTGAGCAAGCTAGGGGACTAGAGCGTGGTCCTTCTAATCCAACCTAGACCACCCATGCCACCCTTAGGTACCATTGTCTCATCTATGTCTCATCATTATTATCCTCATATCATCAGATCTATCTGTATGCTACTATCATTGCCAATTCTCCTGACGTCACTATCCCAGCCAGCACGTATTTCAAGTGGACCAAACACAATGGCATCCCAGTTACCTTTATAGCGGTAAATACAACCAGTCCCAGTCCATTCTCCAACCATTTTCTTGCGGTAACTCCTGGGCGTTATACCCTTGTACTTCTACCAATCACCCTCCCCCTGTATTGCATACGTTTAAAAGTGTTTTTTTCTTCTTTCAGATGTTTGTCCATATGATTTTGCTCTTTTTCCTTCTGTACTTCTTGGATACGAAAAACACAGGAAGGCACAAAAGCACTTGCAGTTCAAGGAGGTAAGTAAACCAAACTAGAGCTGGCATGGAATCCCAACCTACGTTTACTTTTTCTTTTTTCTTTTTCTCATTCTATTTTGTTAGCGCACACAAAGTGGACCGTCATCCCAGTGGGGCGAGGAGTCATTCAAGTATTCGCTCAGATGACGTAACAGAAGATGACGTCAAGGAAGAAAAAGAGAAAATCTTAAGATCGGATCTGACTGACAAATCGAGTAGCGGGTTTTCTGTAGCAGTCAAGGTGAGAAGACAGAAAAATGGATAATGATGATCACGATGATGATGATGATGATGATGATCAACGGCTATTGATGATGGTTGTATGGAGGTGATGATGATGATGGACATGCTTATGATGGTGGTGATGATGATGATGATGACTGGTGATGATGATGATGGTGATGATGATGGTGGTGATGATGATGATAATGATGACATGGTTATCATATTTTCATTATTTTCCACACTACATTCTTTTATCTTCAGGGTTTATGGAAGAAGTTTGGCAAACGTAAAGACACCAAGGTCGTCGTGAAGAATTTATATTTCGGCGTGGAGAGAGGAGAAGTATTTGGATTACTAGGGCCAAATGGAGCGGGAAAAACAACAACATTGAATATGATAACCGGTGCAGTAGCTCCGTCCAGAGGTCATGTAAGGACCACCTACAATAATGTAGAAGATCATTTTATGTGCGCGCGCATGACTGCAGTTATTGAGTATCCGCTGGACGTCAATATTTTTATCGTGTCTTAGAAAATGCTTATCAGAGCGATTGATTGGTTTGAATATTCGCTTTACATACGTAAAGATGATCTTTTTTCTGCGCATGACCGATTGAGTCTCCGCTGTACATTAATATTCACATCATTCCAATGCACATAATAAGTTTGCACGTCTTCTGTAGTCCCATATATAAATGTATCTAGTGAGCGCGCATAAGTGAATTTAGAATCCGCTGTACTCTGTAAGTACAAAATTATCACGATATGATAGCTAGTGCGCATGATAGGTTTGAAAATCCGCTGTCCTTGTGTGACAATGACAAATTAGTACTAAAATTTGCGGACTTGTTTACATAAGGTAATAAAAAACTTTATTTAATACATGCTCACTGAAATAACCGTAAGGCAAACCTGGTCAGTTAGCTAATTATAGTGATCTGTAATAATTGGAGCAAAACAAATTAATATTACAATAACTATTACAATAAGTAAATAAATAATAATATGTATGGAAGACAGTTAAATTCTAAAGTTCCTAACAAGTTCTTGTTTCTTCTATTCGTTTTTAAGGTGACCATCACAGGTTTAGACATGAACACAGAATCTTCTGAGATTTACCAACACGTGGGTTACTGTCCCCAGACCGATGCTCTATGGAAAGATTTGACTCTAGAGGAACACTTGGTACTGTATGCTAAAATACGAGGCATACCAACAGAAGACGTTCAAAGAACTGTTCAACAGTAAGGACACTCTTGAGTACACAAGCTTGATAAGCAATCATCAGCATTATTGATAGACCTCTTTACCTTGGGTGTCATGTTTTCCCATTTCAGACCACGTGTTATTCTCTTGAAAATAAGATTCTTTGTTTGAGTTGTATCCGTATTCTTGTGTCTTCTCATGTGCAACCGTTAAACAAAGAAATGATACTCTAGGGAATAACACGTGGTCTGAAATGGGAAAACATTGTGCACAAGCTAAGAGGGACTTTCATCACTTTATATTCAGATTCCAATGGTTTTTGTTTGTTTGTTTTTGTCAGTTACATGTCAGGTATGAGAGTGACCGAACACGCAAAAAAGAAATCCAAAGATCTGTCTGGAGGAACAAAGCGCAAGGTGAGACTGTGCGTGTCGTAATCAGGTGTATTAAAAGTGGGAAAACCTTAACTAGATACTCACCAGCCTGTGGGG